TACGTGACAAAACATTTCAAAACCGTTTCTAGTCTTCGGTATTTCCAGACAAGTGGCTGCTGAAATCAATCTTACTAACTGCTGTCTGTGCAATTTACTCCGCGAGTTGGCGGACTTTATTTTGCTTACTTTAACATCATTTTTCATGGCGGGGCTAAAGTGGGGCTAAGCCATTTCTTGGTATGGCTGTAGCCTACCCCAGCGCCGCCACTGCACACAGCAGTGATTAATAGTAGCCTACGCATGACACCAGCCCAGCATACCGACATCAGCTAGCGTTAGCTTAGCAAGCTAAACTAACGCTAACTAGGATAACCGCCAAAGTGTGTTGACAGACGAATTATACCTGAAGTCAAGCCAGCCTTTACTGAGCCCCGAGCCTGTTTTCCAGGTCTTCCAGCGTTTTTCTCGTTTTAATGCCATTGAACACCATTTTTGATCAGAATAACAGCTAAAGGTAAGCATATCTCCGTTTTTTTGCTACCTAAAGCTAACACACTAAAGCCTAAAGTGTTGTGGGGCGTAACAGGCAACTACGCATACGACTTACCTTCTAGAAGTCTGGTGGATTTTTGTCAACTCCAGTCCAGTCAGTAGAAGAAACGTTTTGCTGCAACCTGCTGCAACCTGCTGCTGACTGCTGTCTACTCTGTGCGAGCCCCAAAGGATGATATAATCAGGGGTGGCACACAACTTTCTCAATGAGGTACTCAACTTTGTTGTACAACTCACGATTGTCAACGGGTTGCGTCAGTGGAGTACAGCGCTTCACGATTGTCAACGGGGGGGGGGGTGGCGTCAGTGGAGTACAGCGCTTCGCGATTGTCAACGGGGGGGGGGGGGTAGCGTCAGTGGAGTACAGCGCTTCACGATTGTCAACGGGGGGGGGTTGGTAGTAGAGTACAGCGCTTCGTGACTGCGGAGTGTGTGAACGTTGTGATCAGCTGTTTTAGCGCAGGGCTGCTGTACAGACCGACGTTAACAGCAGCCCTGCACACGGAGACCGACTGTCGTCCGGTGAACTAACCGCCTTCTGGAAAAGCTTCACATTTACGTCGGTACGCAAATGCGCTTTGTGACACAAGTGACGGTACGCATGTCAGATTGTTGCCGCGCATGCGTACCTGCGTACCAGTTATGTGCACCCCTGGATATAATGCATAAAAACAATACTTATTTAAATGCGTGTGCTGTTCTTCCTTGGGTAATAAAAAAATGAACAACCTGCACACCTGTTTTTGTCTTTGACACTGTATGTGTCTGTGTGTGTATGTCTGAGAGTCTGAGAGTCTGTTCTAACACATACAATCGGTGTTCTCTAAAGTAAAAATTCACTAAGACGTACAGACCTCAGCTCCCGCAGGAAACCACAACTTTTGGGTTCTGGGATATATCTGAGACCCATAATATATTCCTAAAATAGCATGATAGGAGATCTTTAAACACCTGTGTCTTCAGCAGTGTGAGGGCCGGCTCCTCCCCCCCGGGCCTCATGTTTCCCTGCAGGCTGGTTCCCCCTCGGGTCTGTCTGAGCAGCGAGGAGAAGGCGCTGAACACGTCCGCCCTCACGTTCTCCTCGCGCTCCTTGAAGCGGGCCAGCAGGGCGGGGCAGACGGAGGAGAAGAAGCTCAGCAGGAGGTCCCGCCGCGTCGCGATCAGAGACTCCAGACACTTGATGGAGGAGCGACGCACCTTCCAGCTCATATCGTCATCGTCACTGTACTCATCGTCTGACTCTGGAGAATAGAGGAGAGATGGTTATTTTATTCTTTTTTAGAACTTTCTATTTATTCCACAAATATATATCATACATGGAGATGTAATAAAAATCACACCCGCCTCAGTTGACAGTCCACTCAAATCTACACGTTATTGCTCACAAACACACATTACCCCTTTCCTTCTAAGTCTTGGCAAATTATACATAAATACACATTCATTTAAATTCTCTGACCTTCCCCTGGGTAGCCGGTACAGACAGGTATGCTTACAAATAGACGGTTATTTTTCAATGGACTCAGACAGAACATCTTTACTGTGTTTCCATCACTTATCATAGGCGAGAACTCAAATAATATAAAGTATATCAAGATATGTTTGACCAATTACCTTGATTTCTATACAGAGATCCGTAATGAGCTACCTCCGTGCCTTACCACAGCATCTGGCTCTATATCAGACAGGGCCACCATGTTAAATTGTTTTAATGAGCATTTTGTGTCCTGTGGCTCTCTGTTTGATTCAGTCACTAACTCTGCTTCTGTGAACACCACAGTCTGTGACTCTGAACAATGTGGTCTGGAAAACCCTTTCAGTTTTACTCCTTTTACTGTTAATGTTGTTCATGAAGCATTATCTAAGTTAGATCCTAAGAAACCGGCCGGCCCGGACAACGTAGAACCTTTCTTTTAAAGATAGCTGCAGATTGTATTGCTCCACCTCTCACTTCTCTTTTTAACCTCTCCCTCAGCACAAACACAATTCCACAAGTATAGAAGTCAGCGTATGTCTTGCCTTTACTAAAAGGAGGGGAGGAAACTATTTTAAATAACTATAGGCCCATCTCTAAATTGTCAGTTCTGGCTAAGGTTCTTGAACGCCTAGTGAGTGAACAGGTAAAGGTGTTCTTATGTACAAATGACATCCTGTCTAAACATCAGTCAGGCTTCAGAAAGCAACATAGCACCATCACTGCCAACAATGAAAGTGGTGAATGGCATTACGAGTATTTTAGATAAAAAGCAGAGCTGTGCAGCTCTATTTATTGACCTGTACAAAGCGTTTGACACCGTCGATCATCGCATCTTAAAGCAGAGGCTACTCAGTATTGGCTTATCCAGCCATGCAGTGGGGTGGTTTTGTGAACTACCTCTCTGAAAGGTCCCAATGTGTTCACTTTGATGGGCTGTCTTCTGAGTGGTTAAACATTACTAATGGTGTTCCTCAAGGTTCTGTTTTAGGTCCACTTTTATTCTCCATCTACATCAATAGTTTAGGTGAAAATGTGGATGAAGCTACTTTACATTTTTATGTGGATACGATACGATACGATACGATACGATACGATACGATATACTTTATTGTTCCCGTAAGGAAATTTGTTCTGGACTCCGTCCTGCAGTGCATCCATGTACATATACAAACATAGTGGACATTAAGAGACATACACATATCATCAGTCATACACCGTTTGAACAAACACAATACACACACGTACATACTGACAATGGCGACCTATTGCACAACCCTCATGGCCAACATTAAAAAAAGTACATTTCATTACATTTGACTACATATCATTTCATTAAGAAGCTTAATCGACATAGGTAGGAATGAGTGCTTATAGTGGTTCAGCCTGCTCCTGGGAACCCTGAATCTTCTACCAGAAGGTAGGAGCTGGAATTCTGGGTGGAGTATGTGGGTGGGATCAGACACCATTTATTTTGCCTGTCTGATAATGGACTGCTCGTATATGTTTTGGAGAGATGGGTGTTTTTTAACCCCCATAATCTTCATAGCAGTCTGTACTAGGCGAGCGATCTGTGACTTTGACTGCACTGTCAAGTTACCATACCAGGCAGTGATACCATACCTCATGATGCTCTCCAACACTGCATGATAGAACAGTAACATGAACTTCTGGTCGACTCCGAAAGCCCGGAGTCGACGCAGAAAGTACAACCGCTGCTGAAGTCTAGAGCACAGACCTTGAACATGCGCCTTCCAGCTGAGTGTATTATCTAGATGGACACCAAGATACTTATAGGAGCTGACCTGAGTTATGGGTTCGTTGTGGATAACCACCGGCCTAAGGTCACCCACTGCCTTTGGGTCCCACACCATCTCCTCAGTCTTCTTCACATTCAGCACCAGATGGTTAAAATCACACCACTGCACAAATCTCTCTATTTCAGAGTGATAAGCCGATGAACTGCTGCCTTTGTGCATCAAGCCAAGGATGGCTGTATCATCTGAGAATTTGATGATATAGTTCTCCGGGTGGATTCTCGTACAGTCGTTTGTGTACAATGTGAAGAGGACCGGGGAGCTCACACAACCCTGGGGAGCTCCTGTACTGATGGTCCAGGGCTCTGAGAGGGCATTGTTGACCCTGACATGCTGAGTGCGATTGGTTAAAAACGAAAAATACCATTTCAAGATAAAAGGATTTATACTGATCTTTATCAGTTTTTGAAGCAAGATGTGAGGCTGCAGTGTGTTAAAAGCCGAGCTGAAATCCACAAACAGTAGGCGTACATATGCCTTAGGGTCTTCCAGGTGTTTAGTGACCAGGTGTGTGATGCTATTTAGAGCATCGTCTGTGCCACGCCCTTGCTTATAGGCAAACTGAAAAGGGTCTAAATGTACATCAACCTCTTTCTTTAGCAGCGGCACCATGATCCTCTCAAAACATTTCATGACAATGGATGTCAATGCAATAGGCCTAAAATCATTGTTTACCTTTGGACAAGGTTTTTTGGGGACAGGTTTTATTATTGATTTTTTCCAGAGGGTGGGGATGGTGTGAAGATCAACAGATTTTTGAAATATGGGACACCATGCTGATGTCAGTTCTTCTGCAAATGTCTTCAGAAGGAATGCAGAGATGCCATCTGGCCCTGTGGCCTTCTTAGTACAGGTGTGTTTGAAAAGTGATTGGACCTTTAAAGGGTCAATCAGCACCCTTTCATCCTGGTCAGTAGCAGAGATTGTCTCTAAGATATCTGTACATTCAGAGGAGAAGTCCTGGGTTTCAAATCTCATGTAAAAGTCATTCAGTTCATTTGCTTTTTGCAGGTCATCAGAGGTACAGAGAGTTTTTTTAGCTGGAGTCATATTTGTGATTGCCTTTTTGCCTTGTGATGACACCGTGATGTACTGTGCAGGTCCCTCCATTAAGGAGGCTGTTGTTAAATTACAGGCTGTTTTTAACATTATTCAGACTCAGCTCTCTGAACTTCAGCTTCTTTTAAATGTTGAGAAAACCAAGGTAATGCTCTTTTCTAAAGCTAAAAAGACTCCAGAGACTGCTTTGGATATTGTTACTATGCAAGGACAAGTACTCCAAGTGGTTAGCTGTTATAAATACCTTGGTATCTGGCTTGATGATTGTCTTACTTTTAAACTGCAGGTCATTAATCTGCTTAAAAAGCTGAGGGTTAGACGAGGTTTCTTTTTCAGAAACAAGTCCTGTTTCTCTTTTGAAGCCAGGAAAAGGCTCTGTGACCTTTTGACCTGTGCTAGACTATGGTGATCTGATCTATATGAATGCACCTGCCCATTGCCTGGAAAGGTTAGATGCCGCCTATCACAGTGCTCTGAGATTTGTTACTAACTGTAAAGTACTTACTCATCACTGTACCCTGTATGCCAAGGCAGGTCTGCCTTCACTTACTGTACGGAGGCTCAGTCATTGGTACATGTTTATTTATAAAGCTATGTGGGTAAAACTCCCAACTTATATATGCTCCTTGATCTCACAGAGAGTGGCAAGTAGCTATTGCCTGAGATCCCAGGATGTGTTTTTATTACATGTGCTAAGTGCTAGGACTGTTTTAGGTACTAAAGCTTTTATGTGCGCTGCTCCTCTAGCTTGGAACACCATGCAAAACAAATTGAAACTGAGCATTTTGGTTCCCTTGCATCATTTTAAAGCGCGGCTGGATGAAATGTTATTAGATACCTGTCATTGTGAATAGGTTGCTAATTTATACCCCTGTAATTATGTTGTGACGTCCTTTTTGTTTTCTGTTGTTTTTATGTGTAACCAATGTACCGCAGGTCTCTCTTGAAAAAGAGATCGTTGATCTCAATGGGATTTTTAACCTGGTTAAATAAAGGCTACAAACAAACAGAGATAATATTGTAGGGTTCTGACTCTTGAGTCCAGAGAAGAGAGGTTATTTTTAATGGATTCATCTTTTCTCTCATTGTGTTTACATCACTTCTCATTGGCCGAGGAGATTCAATTACATTTTCTATCTCAATCAATCTGAACAGACCCACAAAACAATGCATTATGGGTCTTTGTATTGTACATTATTAGATACAGACATGAGACTTTCTCTTTAAGATCCAAATACCTGAAAATTAGGACTAACACTGACTGAAAGGCAGTGCCTGGAAGTTCTCTACTTACATCCACATTTGTGGAACTTTAGAGTATTTTTTTCAGATTACAAGTTACTTAGTAAAGTAAATAAGGTAACAATTGATTTTCTAACAAATCATTCAAACTGAGTCCTCAGTCAAATATAACCTCAAGACACGACTGAACACAGATTACTGTCAAACTTGTATTAAAAGTTATCAAAATAAAAACAAATTAATATAATATTTAGCTTATAAGCTCTTTACTGAAAACATTGTACTGATGTTAGTCTTTTGTAATCATACATGTATATATGGTAAGTACATTAAATATTCTTTCATCAGTTAAATGCAACATACTTATAATCGAGAAACAGTTTTTATTTCAGTTTTAGTAATACCCAGCAGTATTTGAAACAGCACAAAACATAAATGAATACACACCTTCCTCCAGCCCTTCCTCCACGTCCATGCTGTCTTCCTCCTCCTCTTCATCGTCATAGTTGTAGTTCGGGTCAAAGGTCATGAACTTAAGGCAAAGCTTTGTCACCGTGGCAACATCTCCTTTGGACAGCTGTCAATCAACGGAAACAACAACATGAAGGTGTCTGTGTGTGTGTGTGTGTGTGTGTGTGTGTGTGTGTACCTGCGTATAAAGGCTTCAAAGGCCTGGAAACAGTACTCTCTCAGCTCGTCGTCCTCCACGTCCGTGAACTTCAACACCATCGGGATTAACTTTCTAACTACACACACACACACACACACACACACACACACACACACACACACACACACACACACACACACACACACACACAACACACACACACCACACACACACACACACACACCACACACACACACACACAACACACACACACACACACACACACACACACACACCACACACACACACACACACACACACACACACACACACACACACACGGACACACACACACACACACACACACACACAGCTTATGAGTTTCTAGATGTGTTCTTTTTTCGTAAATTGAGAATGAAAATGTCAAAATGAAGATCTTTTCAAAATAAAAGTATGTTAGTAATCGAGATGGAAACTGATATCCAAAAGGTACGGGGGAAAAAAGATGACAACTTAGCCGTGTGTGATTGAAAAGATACTTTAAAATCATTATGCAAAAGCGTTCTGTACTTTAGACTACCGAGTCATTATTGAGAAATGTCTCATTATGATAATTTTGAGAAGCTAAACAATTATTTTTAGATATCTAATCATTATTTTAGCATATTAACTCATTCATTTAAGATACTAAGTCATTATTTCTTAGATACTTAAGTCACTATTTTCAGATACTGTGTCATTAGGTTTGAGGTATCTCATCATTACCAAGATACCATGTCATTATTTTGAGATAATAACTCATTGTTTAAACTTTTCTAATTGAAATGACCAGAATATTCTCTTTGTCTTTCATCACAAGGCAACAAATCTAAATGTCTTCATTTTATTTTGTTACTCTACGTGCAGAGATGGCCTTCCTCAGTCAGGAAACCAATGTGTTGTCCTTAAATCTAGTATCACGTGAGCGTGGCAGCAGATCTCACCGACTCGATGGCCGCCCTGACGACTGACGGTTGCTAGGCACTGGATGTACGTCCTCGCCATGGAAACGGGCGGGGCCTTTGCGAGCTCATTGGTCAGGTGTTCAGTCAGCTGGGAGAAGAGGGCGGGGCTACAGCAGGGAACCAGGTGACCCAGAGCCAAGATGGAGCGCTTCCTCACCGCCATCCTGGAGCTGGTCAGCTGACCAGATGGATGGATATTAGGTTTATCTGAAGGGTGTCTATTTTAACTCACAACCAATATGCAACGTGGGTAGGCCAGTTCATTAAAACATCACTATTTTGAGATGCTTACTCTTTGTTTTCAGATACTAAACTTTGTTTTGTACATTCCCAAAGATATTGAAGTGACTGTTATTTTGTATATATTGATTGTTGTGCTTTTATCTTAAAGGTAGGGTAGGTAAGTTTGAGAAACCGGCTCGAGATCGCTTAGAATTTGAAAATACACAACCGGAGAAAATCTGCCACTTCCTTACAGAGCCCCTCCTCCAACACACACGAACGCGCACATGACCAATGAGGGCACGAGATAAGTTTGTGCACAGATGGAAGGCTGACAGGCAGGTAGGCCATCCAATCATTTTAGCCGGGACTTTTTTACAGTACCACGGCTTCCACAGATGACATTTTTTTATGGATTTTGTTGTCAAAGCACTTCAGATATTCATTGCTTTCGGGATGTTAAGAGCATTCCTTGGAATATAACAAAAAGTGTATCTCGAGCCGGTTTCTCAAACTTACCTACCCCACCTTTAATGTGTGCATATGTATACATGTGTCTGTTGATTGTGTATATATAGGATATACATATTTTATACATATTTTTATATATCTTTGTTATAGTATTCTGTATTGTGGGAAACGGTTATCTCGATCTCTCTGTCTGTACACACAAACTGAAAGATTGACAATAAAGTTGACTTTGACTTTTTTCATAAATACAATAAAATAACATATAATAATATGATCAAAAAACTATTATTGCTACTAATATTCTGATTTGATCATATATCATTTGATATGATATTCCCTCTTGTCTTTTGTTATATATGTGTTACCTGAGGGAGCAGACTGGAGAGCAGAGCGCTGTGGAAACTGACCAGAGCACCGCTCAGCCTGTGAAAGACAAATGAAATCATTAAAACAACAACAATCAATAATGAATGAGTCAATGAACACAAAGATAATGCTGGTGTTCAGTATAATGTGAACATTCATCATATATTAACAATTGAGCAATTTAAATTAGCTAATTATAAGAGACAAACAGCTGAGATATTTCCATCTTAACCAAAGCTGCTTGAAATGTTTTATAATGTTTTGTGGTTACTGTCGTGACAAACTATCATATAATCATTTAAAACATATAGACTTATACTCTGGTTGGCTTTTACTCTGTTAAATTGTATGTTTAGTCTTGTATGTGTTTAACAGAGACATATGTTAAGGATTTACATTTCTGGAGGGCAAAGGGAAATGTAAAAGGGGAATATGCAATTGGTTAAGGACGAGGGGGTTTTATGGTTTAATGGTGGGGATGTTAGATGATGCCTGAGAGAATTTTAAGGCCCAGACCAGTTGGATTTTCTCTCTACTATATAATGTGCCTGTAAGCTGTGTTCTGAACTTCTCTATCCTCTGAGGATGACGTACCTCTGTTTCCAACATTTGGGATCCATTTCACTTTTATTTTGACTTTCTTTATTACTTTATTAAATATAACAAAAGACAAACTTTCTCCATGAAACATTTTCTCTTAAGAACTTCCTCCAGTTACCTTCCCAACATGTCTGACAGGATGTCCAGAGCCTCTAACTGAACGGAGACGTCTTCCTGTTTCCCCATCGCTCCGATCAGCTGGGAGGTGATCTTCTTACACACACCCACTGTCAAACACACACACACACCCACTGTCTGTCACACACACCACACACACACACACACACACACACACAACACACACACACACCCACACCACACACACACACACACACACACACACACACACACACACACCACACACACCACACAACAACCACCACACACACCACACCCACCACACACACAACACACACACACACACCACACACAACACACCACACACACACACACACACACACACCCACACACACACACAACACACACACACACACACACCCCACACACACAACACCACACACACACACACACACACACACACACACACACCACCACACACAACACATGTTGGCACCAAGAGTGTGTGAGACCCTTTGAAGGGTGGAGAGTTTCTGGAGAGGAAGAGGAAGAAGATGAGGAAAAGATTCTGGCAATCCTCTACGTCCCGATGTCAGAGATATAAACGGGAAGTTATTATACCATAACAAGTTTTATTCTCAGTGGCTTTAAGTTCATTTGTGTGGAAATACAGGGTGGAATGTAACTACGTATATTTACTCAAACAAAGTGTACATTTTTAAGTGCTTTTACTTCAATTCAGTGACTTCTTATCATGCTACGTTACTCTTTAACTCCACTATAGAGGGGAATATTGTACTTTATACCGCACTACATTCATTTAACAGCTTTAGCTATTTCACGAACGTAATATTTCCAGGTTTGGATCGGATAAACTAACCAACAGTTTATACAACGTCAGCTTAGTCCATTAATCAATTAACCAATTAGAGACGAGGCTTTCATGAACATTTAAATATTTATTTCAGTAAATAATGTGGATTTTATTTTATACGGTTCTCATGGACAATTAAGTATTTATTTTACTAAATATTATTCATTTGTAAGAATCTAATTTTATCTGTGATAAGGCTTTTGTAATCACATACAAATATTCAAATACATTGAAAGAGTACACACAAAAAGGCAGCCTTTAAAAGACTCCTCACTACCATCTATCTTCTGTTCCTCCGTACTTCCTCATAGAAGGTTTATTGTATCTGCTAAGCCTCGTAACAGCTGCCAAAGAGCCTTTTTATCTTGTTTAAAATGAAAAGCTTTACAAATGTTTCCCTCAACGGCAGAGAAACAAACAGTTCAATGCATCTGGAAACACGGAGAGAAAAAAATAACATCTCTGTCCCATTCACACACACACACACACACACACACACACACACACACACAACACACACCACACACACACACACACACACACACACACACACACACACACACACACACACACACACACACACACACACACACACACACACACACCAACCACACACACACACACACACACACCCACACACACACACACCACACACACACACACACACACACACACACACACACACACACACACACACACACACACACACACACACACACAAAATCATTATGCAAAAGCGTTCTGTACTTTTAGACTACCGAGTCATTATTGAGAAATGTCTCATTATGATAATTTTGAGAAGCTAAACAATTATTTTTAGATATCTAATCATTATTTAGCATATTAACTCATTCATTTAAGATACTAAGTCATTATTTCTTAGATATTAAGTCACTATTTTCAGATACTGTGTCATTAGGTTTGAGGTATTTCATCATTACCAAGATACCATGTCATTATTTTGAGATAATAACTCATTGTTTAAACTTTTCTAATTGAAATGACCAGAATATTCTCTTTGTCTTTCATTCACAAGGCCAACAAATCTAAATGTCTTCATTTTATTTTGTTACTCTACGTGCAGAGATGGCCTTCCTCAGTCAGGAAACCAATGTGTTGTCCTTAAATCTAGTATCACGTGAGCGTGGCAGCAGATCTCACCGACTTGATGGCCGCCCTGATGACTGACGGTTGCTAGGCACTGGATGTACGTCCTCGCCATGGAAACGGGCGGGGCCTTTGCGAGCTCATTGGTCAGGTGTTCAGTCAGCTGGGAGAAGAGGGCGGGGCCACGCGTGAGGTTTAGATTATTTCCCTGTCTCAATCCAAATTGAACTGTATGAAATAAAAAGGCACATTTGTCTTGTAGTAAATACAAAGGGCGACCTGGAGCCAATCCTGCAATTTCCCCACAAGTGAAAGAGTTGACATGCTGAAAACCCAACCCCTGCAGGGGGGTCTGGGGGGATTCTCCCCCAGGAGATTTTTTGAAATACTAACATAAAATACACATTCTGGTACTCTCTTGAGAAGAAAAATAAATAAATCTATTGCTACACATTTAAAAAATGAATGCCATTTTAGTTTTTTGTTACTTTGTTCTGAAAGCTGAACCTGCTGCTCCTCACAGAGAGAAGAGGAAGAGGCTGTGTGAATTACTTTACATTGTGGATAAGGGTGGATAGCCCCCATTGTTCTGTGTGTCAAAATGAAAGACAGCCCACACAACTATCAATCATCAAACCGTGGGGTCTTATTTCATTACGTGTTGATTTCTATCAACACGTAGTGTTGTATCGATGTATAGAGATGTACTACCGCAAAAGTATTCTCCGTCGGGACTTCCTACAACAACACCACGCCGTTATCGTGATTCTGATTGTCCAGAAGACATTATCAAAGATGTTTTATTGAGAAGACGATCACTACGTGACAAAACATTTCAAAACCGTTTCTAGTCTTCGGTATTTCCAGACAAGTGGCTGCTGAAATCAATCTTACTAACTGCTGTCTGTGCAATTTACTCCGCGAGTTGGCGGACTTTATTTTGCTTACTTTAACATCATTTTTTCATGGCGGGGGCTAAAGTGGGGCTAAGCCATTTCTTGGTATGGCTGTAGCCTACCCCAGCGCCGCCACTGCACACAGCAGTGATTAATAGTAGCCTACGCATGACACCAGCCCAGCATACCGACATCAGCTAGCGTTAGCTTAGCAAGCTAAACTAACGCTAACTAGGATAACCGCCAAAGTGTGTTGACAGACGAATTATACCTGAAGTCAAGCCATGCCTTTACTGAGCCCCCGAGCCTGTTTTCCAGGTCTTCCAGCGTTTTTCCTCGTTTTAATGCCATTGAACACCATTTTTGATCAGAATAACAGCTAAAGGTAAAGCATATCTCCGTTTTTTTTTGCTACCTAAAGCTAACACACTAAAGCCTAAAGTGTTGTGGGGCGTAACAGGCAACTAACGCATACGACCTTACCTTCTAGAAGTCTGGGTGGATTTTTGTCAACTCCCAGTCCAGTCAGTAGAAAGAAACGTTTTGCTGCAACCTGCTGCAACCTGCTGCTGACTGCTGTCTACTCTGTGCGAGCCCCAAAGGATGATATAATCAGGGGTGCACACAACTTTCTCAATGAGGTACTCAACTTTGTTGTACAACTCACGATTGTCAACGGGTTGGCGTCAGTGGAGTACAGCGCTTCACGATTGTCAACGGGGGGGGGGGGGGTGGCGTCAGTGGAGTACAGCGCTTCGCGATTGTCAACGGGGGGGGGGGGTAGCGTCAGTGGAGTACAGCGCTTCACGATTGTCAACGGGGGGGGTTGGTAGTAGAGTACAGCGCTTCGTGACTGCGGAGTGTGTGAACGTTGTGATCAGCTGTTTTAGCGCAGGGCTGCTGTACAGACCGACGTTAACAGCAGCCCTGCACACGGAGACCGACTGTCGTCCGGTGAACTAACCGCCTTCTGGAAAAGCTTCACATTTACGTCGGTACGCAAATGCGCTTTGTGACACAAGTGACGGTACGCATGTCAGATTGTTGCCGCGCATGCGTACCTGCGTACCAGTTATGTGCACCCCTGGATATAATGCATAAAAACAATACTTATTTAAATGCGTGTGCTGTTCTTCCTTGGGTAATAAAAAAAATGAACAACCTGCACACCTGTTTTTGTCTTTGACACTGTATGTGTCTGTGTGTGTATGTCTGAGAGTCTGAGAGTCTGTTCTAACACATACAATCGGTGTTCTCTAAAGTAAAAATTCACTAAGACGTACAGACCTCAGCTCCCGCAGGAAACCACAACTTTTGGGTTCTGGGATATATCTGAGACCCATAATATATTCCTAAAATAGCATGATAGGAGATCTTTAAACACCTGTGTCTTCAGCAGTGTGAGGGCCGGCTCCTCCCCCCCGGGCCTCATGTTTCCCTGCAGGCTGGTTCCCCCTCGGGTCTGTCTGAGCAGCGAGGAGAAGGCGCTGAACACGTCCGCCCTCACGTTCTCCTCGCGCTCCTTGAAGCGGGCCAGCAGGGCGGGGCAGACGGAGGAGAAGAAGCTCAGCAGGAGGTCCCGCCGCGTCGCGATCAGAGACTTCCAGACACTTGATGGAGGAGCGACGCACCTTCCAGCTCATATCGTCATCGTCACTGTACTCATCGTCTGACTCTGGAGAATAGAGGAGAGATGGTTATTTTATTCTTTTTTAGAACTTTCTATTTATTCCACAAATATATATCATACATGGAGATGTAAATAAAAATCACACCCGCCTCAGTTGACAGTCCACTCAAATCTACACGTTATTGCTCACAAACACACATTACCCCTTTCCTTCTAAGTCTTGGCAAATTATACATAAATACACATTCATTTAAATTCTCTGACCTTCCCCTGGGTAGCCGGTACAGACAGGTATGCTTACAAATAGACGGTTATTTTTCAATGGACTCAGACAGAACATCTTTACTGTGTTTCCATCACTTATCATAGGCGAGAACTCAAATAATATAAAGTATATCAAGATATGTTTGACCAATTACCTTGATTTCTATACAGAGATCCGTAATGAGCTACCTCCGTGCCTTACCACAGCATCTGGCTCTATATCAGACAGGGCCACCATGTTAAATTGTTTTAATGAGCATTTTGTGTCCTGTGGCTCTCTGTTTGATTCAGTCACTAACTCTGCTTCTGTGAACACCACAGTCTGTGACTCTGAACAATGTGGTCTGGAAAACCCTTTCAGTTTTACTCCTTTTACTGTTAATGTTGTTCATGAAGCATTATCTAAGTTAGATCCTAAGAAACCGGCCGGCCCGGACAACGTAGAACCTTTCTTTTTAAAGATAGCTGCAGATTGTATTGCTCCACCTCTCACTTCTCTTTTTAACCTCTCCCTCAGCACAAACACAATTCCACAAGTATAGAAGTCAGCGTATGTCTTGCCTTTACTAAAAGGAGGGGAGGAAACTATTTTAAATAACTATAGGCCCATCTCTAAATTGTCAGTTCTGGCTAAGGTTCTTGAACGCCTAGTGAGTGAACAGGTAAAGGTGTTCTTATGTACAAATGACATCCTGTCTAAACATCAGTCAGGCTTCAGAAAGCAACATAGCACCATCACTGCCACAATGAAAGTGGTGAATGGCATTACGAGTATTTTAGATAAAAAGCAGAGCTGTGCAGCTCTATTTATTGACCTGTACAAAGCGTTTGACACCGTCGATCATCGCATCTTAAAGCAGAGGCTACTCAGTATTGGCTTATCCAGCCATGCAGTGGGGTGGTTTGTGAACTACCTCTCTGAAAGGTCCCAATGTGTTCACTTTGATGGGCTGTCTTCTGAGTGGTTAAACATTACTAATGGTGTTCCTCAAGGTTCTGTTTTAGGTCCACTTTATTCTCCATCTACATCAATAGTTTAGGTGAAAATGTGGATGAAGCTACTTTACATTTTTATGTGGATACGATACGATACGATACGATACGATACGATACGATATACTTTATTGTTCCCGTAAGGAAATTTGTTCTGGACTCCGTCCTGCAGTGCATCCATGTACATATACAAACATAGTGGACATTAAGAGACATACACATATCATCAGTCATACACCGTTTGAACAAACACAATACACACACGTACATACTGACAATGGCGACCTATTGCACAACCCTCATGGCCAACATTAAAAAAAGTACATTTCATTACATTTGACTACATATCATTTCATTAAGAAGCTTAATCGACATAGGTAGGAATGAGTGCTTATAGTGGTTCAGCCTGCTCCTGGGAACCCTGAATCTTCTACCAGAAGGTAGGAGCTGGAATTCTGGGTGGAGTATGTGGGTGGGATCAGACACCATTTATTTTGCCTGTCTGATAATGGACTGCTCGTATATGTTTTGGAGAGATGGGTGTTTTTTAACCCCCATAATCTTCATAGCAGTCTGTACTAGGCGAGCGATCTGTGACTTTGACTGCACTGTCAAGTTACCATACCAGGCAGTGATACCATACCTCATGATGCTCTCCAACACTGCATGATAGAACAGTAACATGAACTTCTGGTCGACTCCGAAAGCCCGGAGTCGACGCAGAAAGTACAACCGCTGCTGAAGTCTAGAGCACAGACCTTGAACATGCGCCTTCCAGCTGAGTGTATTATCTAGATGGACACCAAGATACTTATAGGAGCTGACCTGAGTTATGGGTTCGTTGTGGATAACCACCGGCCTAAGGTCACCCACTGCCTTTGGGTCCCACACCATCTCCTCAGTCTTCTTCACATTCAGCACCAGATGGTTAAAATCACACCACTGCACAAATCTCTCTATTTCAGAGTGATAAGCCGATGAACTGCTGCCTTTGTGCATCAAGCCAAGGATGGCTGTATCATCTGAGAATTTGATGATATAGTTCTCCGGGTGGATTCTCGTACAGTCGTTTGTGTACAATGTGAAGAGGACCGGGGAGCTCACACAACCCTGGGGAGCTCCTGTACTGATGGTCCAGGGCTCTGAGAGGGCATTGTTGACCCTGACATGCTGAGTGCGATTGGTTAAAAACGAAAAATACCATTTCAAGATAAAAGGATTTATACTGATCTTTATCAGTTTTTGAAGCAAGATGTGAGGCTGCAGTGTGTTAAAAGCCGAGCTGAAATCCACAAACAGTAGGCGTACATATGCCTTAGGGTCTTCCAGGTGTTTAGTGACCAGGTGTGTGATGCTATTTAGAGCATCGTCTGTGCCACGCCCTTGCTTATAGGCAAACTGAAAAGGGTCTAAATGTACATCAACCTCTTTCTTTAGCAGCGGCACCATGATCCTCTCAAAACATTTCATGACAATGGATGTCAATGCAATAGGCCTAAAATCATTGTTTACCTTTGGACAAGGTTTTTTGGGGACAGGTTTTATTATTGATTTTTTCCAGAGGGTGGGGATGGTGTGAAGATCAACAGATTTTTGAAATATGGGACACCATGCTGATGTCAGTTCTTCTGCAAATGTCTTCAGAAGGAATGCAGAGATGCCATCTGGCCCTGTGGCCTTCTTAGTACAGGTGTGTTTGAAAAGTGATTGGACCTTTAAAGGGTCAATCAGCACCCTTTCATCCTGGTCAGTAGCAGAGATTGTCTCTAAGATATCTGTACATTCAGAGGAGAAGTCCTGGGTTTCAAATCTCATGTAAAAGTCATTCAGTTCATTTGCTTTTTGCAGGTCATCAGAGGTACAGAGAGTTTTTTTAGCTGGAGTCATATTTGTGATTGCCTTTTTGCCTTGTGATGACACCGTGATGTACTGTGCAGGTCCCTCCATTAAGGAGGCTGTTGTTAAATTACAGGCTGTTTTTTAACATTATTCAGACTCAGCTCTCTGAACTTCAGCTTCTTTTAAATGTTGAGAAAACCAAGGTAATGCTCTTTTCTAAAGCTAAAAAGACTCCAGAGACTGCTTTGGATATTGTTACTATGCAAGGACAAGTACTCCAAGTGGTTAGCTGTTATAAATACCTTGGTATCTGGCTTGATGATTGTCTTACTTTTAAACTGCAGGTCATTAATCTGCTTAAAAAGCTGAGGGTTAGACGAGGTTTCTTTTTCAGAAACAAGTCCTGTTTCTCTTTTGAAGCCAGGAAAAGGCTCTGTGACCTTTTGACCTGTGCTAGACTATGGTGATCTGATCTATATGAATGCACCTGCCCATTGCCTGGAAAGGTTAGATGCCGCCTATCACAGTGCTCTGAGATTTGTTACTAACTGTAAAGTACTTACTCATCACTGTACCCTGTATGCCAAGGCAGGTCTGCCTTCACTTACTGTACGGAGGCTCAGTCATTGGTACATGTTTATTTATAAAGCTATGTTGGGTAAACTCCCAACTTATATATGCTCCTTGATCTCACAGAGAGTGGCAAGTAGCTATTGCCTGAGATCCCAGGATGTGTTTTTATTACATGTGCTAAGTGCTAGGACTGTTTTAGGTACTAAAGCTTTTATGTGCGCTGCTCCTCTAGCTTGGAACACCATGCAAAACAAATTGAAACTGAGCATTTTGGTTCCCTTGCATCATTTTAAAGCGCGGCTGGATGAAATGTTATTAGATACCTGTCATTGTGAATAGGTTGCTAATTTATACCCCTGTAATTATGTTGTGACGTCCTTTTTGTTTTCTGTTGTTTTTATGTGTAACCAATGTACCGCAGGTCTCTCTTGAAAAAGAGATCGTTGATCTCAATGGGATTTTTAACCTGGTTAAATAAAGGCTACAAACAAACAGAGATAATATTGTAGGGTTCTGACTCTTGAGTCCAGAGAAGAGAGGTTATTTTTAATGGATTCATCTTTTCTCTCATTGTGTTTACATCACTTCTCATTGGCCGAGGAGATTCAATTACATTTTCTATCTCAATCAATCTGAACAGACCCACAAAACAATGCATTATGGGTCTTTGTATTGTACATTATTAGATACAGACATGAGACTTTCTCTTTAAGATCCAAATACCTGAAAATTAGGACTAACACTGACTGAAAGGCAGTGCTGGAAGTTCTCTACTTACATCCACATTTGTGGAACTTTAGAGTATTTTTCAGATTACAAGTTACTAAGTAAAGTAAATAAGGTAACAATTGATTTTCTAACAAATCATTCAAACTGAGTCCTCAGTCAAATATAACCTCAAGACACGACTGAACACAGATTACTGTCAAACTTGTATTAAAAGTTATCAAAATAAAAACAAATTAATATAATATTTAGCTTATAAGCTCTTTACTGAAAACATTGTACTGATGTTAGTCTTTTGTAATCATACATGTATATATGGTAAGTACATTAAATATTCTTTCATCAGTTAAATGCAACATACTTATAAATCGAGAAACAGTTTTTATTTCAGTTTTAGTAATACCCAGCAGTATTTGAAACAGCACAAAACATAAATGAATACACACCTTCCTCCAGCCCTTCCTCCACGTCCATGCTGTCTTCCTCCTCCTCTTCATCGTCATAGTTGTAGTTCGGGTCAAAGGTCATGAACTTAAGGCAAAGCTTTGTCACCGTGGCAACATCTCCTTTGGACAGCTGTCAATCAACGGAAACAACAACATGAAGGTGTCTGTGTGTGTGTGTGTGTGTGTGTGTGTGTGTGTGTACCTGCGTATAAAGGCTTCAAAGGCCTGGAAACAGTACTCTCTCAGCTCGTCGTCCTCCACGTCCGTGAACTTCAACACCATCGGGATTAACTTTTCTAAATACACACACACACACACACACACACACACACACACACACACACACACACACACACACACACACACACACACACACACACACACACACACACACACACACACACACACACACACACACACACACACACACACACACACACACACACACACACACACACACACACACACACACACACACACACACACACACACACACACACACACACACACACACAGCTTATGAGTTTCTAGATGTGTTCTTTTTTCGTAAATTGAGAATGAAAATGTCAAAATGAAGATCTTTTCAAAATAAAAGTATGTTAGTAATCGAGATGGAAACTGATATCCAAAAGGTACGGGGGAAAAAAAGATGACAACTTAGCCGTGTGATTGAAAAAGATACTTTAAAATCATTATGCAAAAGCGTTCTGTACTTTAGACTACCGAGTCATTATTGAGAAATGTCTCATTATGATAATTTTGAGAAGCTAAACAATTATTTTTAGATATCTAATCATTATTTTAGCATATTAACTCATTCATTTAAGATACTAAGTCATTATTTCTTAGATACTAAGTCACTATTTTCAGATACTGTGTCATTAGGTTTGAGGTATCTCATCATTACCAAGATACCATGTCATTATTTTGAGATAATAACTCATTGTTTAAACTTTTCTAATTGAAATGACCAGAATATTCTCTTTGTCTTTCATCACAAGGCAACAAATCTAAATGTCTTCATTTTATTTTGTTACTCTACGTGCAGAGATGGCCTTCCTCAGTCAGGAAACCAATGTGTTGTCCTTAAATCTAGTATCACGTGAGCGTGGCAGCAGATCTCACCGACTCGATGGCCGCCCTGACGACTGACGGTTGCTAGGCACTGGATGTACGTCCTCGCCATGGAAACGGGCGGGGCCTTTGCGAGCTCATTGGTCAGGTGTTCAGTCAGCTGGGAGAAGAGGGCGGGGCTACAGCAGGGAACCAGGTGACCCAGAGCCAAGATGGAGCGCTTCCTCACCGCCATCCTGGAGCTGGTCAGCTGACCAGATGGATGGATATTAGGTTTATCTGAAGGGTGTCTATTTTAACTCACAACCAATATGCAACGTGGGTAGGCAGTTCATTAAAACATCACTATTTTGAGATGCTTACTCTTTGTTTTCAGATACTAAACTTTGTTTTGTACATTCCCAAAGATATTGAAGTGACTGTTATTTTGTATATATTGATTGTTGTGCTTTTATCTTAAAGGTAGGGTAGGTAAGTTTGAGAAACCGGCTCGAGATCGCTAGAATTTGAAAATACACAACCGGAGAAAATCTGCCACTTCCTTACAGAGCCCCTCCTCCAACACACACGAACGCGCACATGACCAATGAGGGCACGAGATAAGTTTGTGCACAGATGGAAGGCTGACAGGCAGGTAGGCCATCCAATCATTTTAGCCGGGACTTTTTACAGTACCACGGCTTCCACAGATGACATTTTTTTATGGATTTTGTGTCAAAGCACTTCAGATATTCATTGCTTTCGGGATGTTAAGAGCATTCCTTGGAATATAACAAAAAGTGTATCTCGAGCCGGTTTCTCAAACTTACCTACCCCACCTTTAATGTGTGCATATGTATACATGTGTCTGTTGATTGTGTATATATAGGATATACATATTTTATACATATTTTTATATATCTTTGTTATAGTATTCTGTATTGTGGGAAACGGTATCTCGATCTCTCTGTCTGTACACACAAACTGAAAGATTGACAATAAAGTTGACTTTGACTTTTTTCATAAATACAATAAAATAACATATAATAATATGATCAAAAAAACTATTATTGCTACTAATATTCTGATTTGATCATATATCATTTGATATGATATTCCCTCTTGTCTTTTGTTATATATGTGTTACCTGAGGGAGCAGACTGGAGAGCAGAGCGCTGTGGAAACTGACCAGAGCACCGCTCAGCCTGTGAAAGACAAATGAAATCATTAAAACAACAACAATCAATAATGAATGAGTCAATGAACACAAAGATAATGCTGGTGTTCAGTATAATGTGAACATTCATCATATATTAACAATTGAGCAATTTAAATTAGCTAATTATAAGAGACAAACAGCTGAGATATTTCCATCTTAACCAAAGCTGCTTGAAATGTTTTATAATGTTTTGTGGTTACTGTCGTGACAAACTATCATATAATCATTTAAAACATATAGACTTATACTCTGGTTGGCTTTTACTCTGTTAAATTGTATGTTTAGTCTTGTATGTGTTTAACAGAGACATATGTTAAGGATTTACATTTCTGGAGGGCAAAGGGAAATGTAAAAGGGGAATATGCAATTGGTTAAGGACGAGGGGGTTTTATGGTTTAATGGTGGGGATGTTAGATGATGCCTGAGAGAATTTAAGGCCCAGACCAGTTGGATTTTCTCTCTACTATATAATGTGCCTGTAAGCTGTGTTCTGAACTTCTCTATCCTCTGAGGATGACGTACCTCTGTTCCAACATTTGGGATCCATTTCACTTTTATTTTGACTTTCTTTATTACTTTATTAAATATAACAAAAGACAAACTTTCTCCATGAAACATTTTCTCTTAAGAACTTCCTCCAGTTACCTTCCCAACATGTCTGACAGGATGTCCAGAGCCTCTAACTGAACGGAGACGTCTTCCTGTTTCCCCATCGCTCCGATCAGCTGGGAGGTGATCTTCTTACACACACCCACTGTCAAACACACACACACACCCACTGTCTGTCACACACACACACACCACACCCACACCCACACCCACACCCACACACACACACACACACACACACACACTACACACACACACACACACACACACACACACACACACACACACACACACACACACACACAACACACACACACACACACACACACACACACACACACACACACACACACACACACACACACACACACACACACACACACACACACACACACACACACACACACACACACACACACACACCACACACACACACACACACACACACACACACACACACACACACACACACACACACACACACACACACACACACACACACACACACACACACACACACACACACACACACACACACACACACACACACACACACACACACACACACACACACATGTTGGCACCAAGAGTGTGTGAGACCTTTGAAGGGTGGAGAGTTTCTGGAGAGGAAGAGGAAGAAGATGAGGAAAAGATTTCTGGCAATCCTCTACGTCCCGATGTCAGAGATATAAACGGGAAGTTATTATACCATAACAAGTTTTTATTCTCAGGTGGCTTTAAGTTCATTTGTGTGGAAATACAGGTGGAATGTAACTACGTATATTTACTCAAACAAAGTGTACATTTTAAGTGCTTTTACTTCAATTCAGTGACTTCTTATCATGCTACGTTACTCTTTAACTCCACTATAGAGGGGAATATTGTACTTTATACCGCACTACATTCATTTAACAGCTTTAGCTATTTCACGAACGTAATATTTCCAGGTTTGGATCGGATAAAACTAACCAACAGTTTATACAACGTCAGCTTAGTCCATTAATCAATTAACCAATTAGAGACGAGGCTTTCATGAACATTTAAATATTTATTTCAGTAAATAATGTGGATTTTATTTTATACGGTTCTCATGGACAATTAAGTATTTATTTTACTAAATATTATTCATTTGTAAGAATCTAATTTTATCTGTGATAAGGCTTTTGTAATCACATACAAATATTCAAATACATTGAAAGAGTACACACAAAAAGGCAGCCTTTAAAAGACTCCTCACTACCATCTATCTTCTGTTCCTCCGTACTTCCTCATAGAAGGTTTATTGTATCTGCTAAGCCTCGTAACAGCTGCCAAAGAGCCTTTTTATCTTGTTTAAAATGAAAAGCTTTACAAATGTTTCCCTCAACTGCAGAAACAAACAGTTCAATTCATCTGGAAACACGGAGAAAAAAATAACATCTCTGTCCCATTCACACACACACACACACACACACACACACACACACACACACACACACACACACACACACACACACACACACACACACACACACACACACACACACACACACACACACACACACACACACACACACACACACACACACACACACACACACACACACACACACACACACACACACACACACACACACACACACACACACACACACACACACACACACACACACACACACACACACACAAAAATCATTATGCAAAAGCGTTCTGTACTTTAGACTACCGAGTCATTATTGAGAAATGTCTCATTATGATAATTTTGAGAAGCTAAACAATTATTTTTAGATATCTAATCATTATTTTAGCATATTAACTCATTCATTTAAGATACTAAGTCATTATTTCTTAGATATTAAGTCACTATTTTCAGATACTGTGTCATTAGGTTTGAGGTATTTCATCATTACCAAGATACCATGTCATTATTTTGAGATAATAACTCATTGTTTAAACTTTTCTAATTGAAATGACCAGAATATTCTCTTTGTCTTTCATCACAAGGCAACAAATCTAAATGTCTTCATTTTATTTTGTTACTCTACGTGCAGAGATGGCCTTCCTCAGTCAGGAAACCAATGTGTTGTCCTTAAATCTAGTATCACGTGAGCGTGGCAGCAGATCTCACCGACTTGATGGCCGCCCTGATGACTGACGGTTGCTAGGCACTGGATGTACGTCCTCGCCATGGAAACGGGCGGGGCCTTTGCGAGCTCATTGGTCAGGTGTTCAGTCAGCTGGGAGAAGAGGGCGGGGCCACGCGTGAGGTTTAGATTATTTCCCTGTCTCAATCCAAATTGAACTGTATGAAATAAAAAGGCACATTTGTCTTGTAGTAAATACAAAGGGCGACCTGGAGCCAATCCTGCAATTTCCCCACAAGTGAAAGAGTTGACATGCTGAAAACCCAACCCCTGCAGGGGGGTCTGGGGGGATTCTCCCCCAGGAGATTTTTTGAAATACTAACATAAAATACACATTCTGGTACTCTCTTGAGAAGAAAAATAAATAAATCTATTGCTACACATTTAAAAAAATGAATGCCATTTTAGTTTTTTGTTACTTTGTTCTGAAAGCTGAACCTGCTGCTCCTCACAGAGAGAAGAGGGAAGAGGCTGTGTGAATTACTTTACATTGTGGATAAGGGTGGATAGCCCCCATTGTTCTGTGTGTCAAAATGAAAGACAGCCCACACAACTATCAATCATCAAACCGTGGGGTCTTATTTCATTACGTGTTGATTTCTATCAACACGTAGTGTTGTATCGATGTATAGAGATGTACTACCGCAAAAGTATTCTCCGTCGGGACTTCCTACAACAACACCACGCCGTTATCGTGATTCTGATTGTCCAGAAGACATTATCAAAGATGTTTTATTGAGAAGACGATCACTACGTGACAAAACATTTCAAAACCGTTTCTAGTCTTCGGTATTTCCAGACAAGTGGCTGCTGAAATCAATCTTACTAACTGCTGTCTGTGCAATTTACTCCGCGAGTTGGCGGACTTTATTTTGCTTACTTTAACATCATTTTTCATGGCGGGGCTAAAGTGGGGCTAAGCCATTTCTTGGTATGGCTGTAGCCTACCCCAGCGCCGCCACTGCACACAGCAGTGATTAATAGTAGCCTACGCATGACACCAGCCCAGCATACCGACATCAGCTAGCGTTAGCTTAGCAAGCTAAACTAACGCTAACTAGGATAACCGCCAAAGTGTGTTGACAGACGAATTATACCTGAAGTCAAGCCAGCCTTTACTGAGCCCCGAGCCTGTTTTCCAGGTCTTCCAGCGTTTTTCTCGTTTTAATGCCATTGAACACCATTTTTGATCAGAATAACAGCTAAAGGTAAGCATATCTCCGTTTTTTTGCTACCTAAAGCTAACACACTAAAGCCTAAAGTGTTGTGGGGCGTAACAGGCAACTAACGCATACGACTTACCTTCTAGAAGTCTGGTGGATTTTTGTCAACTCCAGTCCAGTCAGTAGAAAGAAACGTTTTGCTGCAACCTGCTGCAACCTGCTGCTGACTGCTGTCTACTCTGTGCGAGCCCCAAAGGATGATATAATCAGGGGTGCACACAACTTTCTCAATGAGGTACTCAACTTTGTTGTACAACTCACGATTGTCAACGGGTTGGCGTCAGTGGAGTACAGCGCTTCGCGATTGTCAACGGGGGGGGGGGGGGGGGGGGGGTGATAGTAGAGTACAGAGCTTCGTGACCGCGGAGTGTGTGCACGTTGTGATCAGCTGTTTTAGCGCAGGGCTGCTGTACAGACCGACGTTAACAGCAGCCCTGTCTGTGCACACGGAGACCGACTCTGTCGTCCGGTGAACTAACCGCCTTCTGGAAAAGCTTCACATTTACGTCGGTACGCAAATGCGCTTTGTGACACAAGTGACGGTACGCATGTCAGATTGTTGCCGCGCATGCGTACCTGCCTACCAGTTATGTGCACCCCTGGATATAATGCATAAAAACAATACTTATTTAAATGCGTGTGCTGTTCTTCCTTGGGCAATAAAAAAATGAACAACCTGCACACCTGTTTTTGTCTTTGACACTGTATGTGTCTGTGTGTGTATGTCTGAGAGTCTGAGAGTCTGTTCTAACACATACAATCGGTGTTCTCTAAAGTAAAAATTCACTAAGACGAACAGACCTCAGCTCCCGCAGGAAACCACAACATTTGGGTTTTGGGATATATCTGAGACCCATAATATATGCCTAAAGATAGCATGATAGGAGATCTTTAAACACCTGTGTCTTCAGCAGTGTGAGGGCCGGCTCCTCCCCCCCGGGCCTCATGTTTCCCTGCAGGCTGGTTCCCCCTCGGGTCTGTCTGAGCAGCGAGGAGAAGGCGCTGAACACGTCCGCCCTCACGTTCTCCTCACGCTCCTTGAAGCGGGCCAGCAGGGCGGGGCAGACGGAGGAGAAGAAGCTCAGCAGGAGGTCCCGCCGCGTCGCGATCAGAGACTCCAGACACTTGATGGAGGAGCGACGCACCTTCCAGCTCATATCGTCATCGTCACTGTACTCATCGTCTGACTCTGGAGAATAGAGGAGAGATGGTTATTTTATTCTTTTTTAGAACTTTCTATTTATTCCACAAATATATATCATACATGGAGATGTAAATAAAAATCACACCCGCCTCACTTGAGTCCACTCAAATCTACACGTTATTACTCACAAACACACATTACCCCTTTCCTTCTAAGTCTTGGCAAATTATACATAAATACAGACATTCATTTAAATTCTCTGACCTTCCCCTGGGTAGCCGGTACAGACAGGTATGCTTACAAATAGACGGTTATTTTTCAATGGACTCAGACAGAACATCTTTACTGTGTTTCCATCACTTATCATTGGCGAGAACGTCGGGTTACGTATTGTAACCCTTGTTATATAAACACAGGCGGAGCCCTCTACTGGACTCTATGGGTACTACCTTATCATGCAAGCATTCACCTACTGAGATTTCTATAGACGTAGCCGGCCCCGGGGCGGGCCTACCTGAATGCGTGCGCATCTCACTTCCGTATAAAAGGAGGCCTCGCCTCCTGACCACCATCCTACACCACTCTTCAGCGAGCGGTATAGGACAGACAGTGCCCCCAAGGTAGAGGGCTCCGCCTGTGTTTATATAACAAGGGTTACAATACGTAACCCGACGTTATATCTCTCACAGGCTCCGCCCTCTACTGGACTCTATGGGTACAGTGGGCGGAGCCCCGATGTATGCACGCACTGTCGTCCAGCACACCGTTCCACCTCACTGTCCCTGACCGGCTTTAGCAGCCACTGCGCCTCACTCACCTCTCCCTCGGTTGTAACCGTGGAGAAGTCCGGGCTGCGGCCGATAGAGCACACCCTGACGCGCTTGCCTCGCAAAAAAGTGTGCTCAAAAATAGTGCTGAGGACTCCCGTGCGTCTGCCCATAGGCAGACAGGGAAAGTCTGCAGCCCTGTATGGGTTCACTATGCACTCTCCCTCCTGAGTCCCTAAGGAGCACGGGGAGAACGCAAGTGCCCCCTACGTCCCCCCACTCAGCCACTGACCCTGTGCAGAGTGTGTAGGGACAATAATATGGAGGGCTCTCCCCCTCCTGCCCCCAGGCAGGCGAGGGGAGCCCTTCAGCCCTGTAAGGGCCCAGAGCGCATTACATCACCCCGCGACCCTCCAGGGGTCCGGAGAAATGTAAGCGCATTTACGCCCGGGGAGGGGGTCAGATGCCCACTGACCCACAGCCCCCCCCCTCCTCACCAGTCCTGTGTTGCCACAGCAAGTACAGACGATGAGAAAGAGCCAGACATATCCAAGAGATAAAACTTTATGAAGGGGCCTGGCGTTGACCAAGACGCCACCGTGCATATATCCTCCACACTCACACCGTTGAATAAGGCTGTTGATGCAGCCACAGCTCGTGTGGAGTGCGCACGGACCCCCATGGGACAGGCTCTCCCTGCCTGCTTGTAGGCGTGTGCAATGGTTTCACAAAGCCAGCCTGCCAGGCATTTCTTGGACAGAGCTTTTCCAGTCACCCCGCCCCCGAAGCACACAAACAGCTGTTCAGTGCGTCTCAGGGTAGCTGTGCGCTCTACATAATATGCTAATGCGCGCACCGGGCAGAGGAGGTGTAATTTAGCTTCTCTAGCCCCCCCATGGGGTGGAAGACTAAAACCCCCCAACTGAATAGCCCTCGACCTGAACTCACTCCTTAGGCTCTTGGGCACAAAGGAGGGGTTCGGTCTGAGTGTCGCCCCACTCTGGTCACCCCGAATCAATAAACAGCTCGGGTGCACCGACAGAGCGGTTAACTCGGACACTCTTTTGGCTGACGTTTAAGGCAAGTAACAACGCTGTCTTCCACGACAGTGCTTTCAGGGAGGAGAGCTCAAGAGGCTCAAATGGCCCCGTGACCAAGGCCTCGAGCACCAGCGGCAGGTCCCACTGTGGGGCGGAGGCGTGCACTACAGGGCGCAGCCTCCTGACCCCCTGTAACAACCGCAACATCAGTGGATGAGAGAACGCTGACCCTCATGACAGGACGAGATGGCTGCTGCATACACTTTCACTGTGGAATGAGCAAGCCCTCTGTCCACCAGTAACTGTAAGAAGGATAAAATAGAGCCCAACTCACAAGATAGGGGCTCTATTCCCCGCTCCTCACACCAATGCTGGAATCTCAGCCACTTTGGCCTGTAACAGGCTGTGGTGGATTCTGCTCTAGCTGCCTGGATAGACTGAATAACGCTGTCAGACAATCCACCCTGTCTCAGCCTGTCCCTCTCAGGAGCCAAGCCTGAAGAGGACGGCCCAGAGTGGGTAACGCCCCGATTGCACCTGCCTCTTGAGACATCGACCCCCAGAACTGGGGAATCGCCCAGGGCTGGCCCACCTTCATCTGTGTCATTTCTGAGTACCACGGAGCCCCGACGCGATCCGGTGCCACCAGAATGACTGCCAGACGTTCTCGCCTCACTCTCCCCAGGAGAGGGAGAATGAGACGCAGCGGTGGAAAGGCGTATAGCAGCTTCCTTGGCCATGGCTCGTGTGCAAACGCGTCCACCCCCAAAGGCGGGTCGTCGCTCAGGGCCATGGAGAACCACAGGGCACAGTGGCTGTTGTGCCGGCTGGCAAACAGGTCCACTTCCGCTCTCCCGAACTGGGCCCAGATCTGCTTCACCACCTCCGGGTGAAGCGTCCATTCGCCTGGCAGGGGGCCGCCCCTCGCCATGAGGACGGCCCCCCTGTTCTCCAGTCCCGGGATATGGAGGGCTCTCAGAGATAACACCACCTCTGAAGCCCATAACCACAGCCTCTCCGCTGTGGCCAACAAGGGGGCGGAGCGGACTCCGCCCTGCCTGTTGATATAAGCCACTGTGGTGCTGTTGTTGCTCCTGACCATTACATGTCTCCCTTGAATTAGGGGCATGAAATGCCGGAGAACTAACACTACCGCCCGTAGCTCTAGGAGGTTGCTGTGTTGAGACTCCGTAGAGCCCAGCGCCCACCTATAGCCCTCTTCAGGCAGGTCCCTCCCCATCCTGTTCTGGATGCGTCCGTGAACACTGATGTAGGAGGTTACCCGCCCCAGTGGAGACCCCCTCCGGAGGCGCCCGGGAGACCCCCAGAACCGGAGGTTGCCCTCCACTGAGGGGGGGATGGTCACCAGCCGCCGTTTGTGCCTCTTGGGATCCAAACGCAGACTGGAAAACCACCTCTGCAGGCGGCGCATATGCAGTAACCCCAATGGGACCACAACGTGAGCAGCCGCCATGAGACCCAGAGCCTGCATGACAGTTAAAGCTGTCACTGTCGCCCCCTGTCGCAGCCTGTGCACCGCCCGGAGAAGGGACGCACGTCTGCTCTCTGACAGGGTGGCACGTAGCGCGTCTGCATCGAGCACCACTCCCAAATACAACGCCTGTTGGTGAGGTATGGGGGTGCTCTTTCCCCAATTGATCGCAAAGCCTAATTTGGTTAGGTGTGTGATCAATTGTGCTGTGCAAAACATTGCCTGTTCCCGGGACCCAGCCATGACTATGAGGTCGTCTATGTAAAAGAAAAACTCTCATGCCCTGGGCGCGCAGCGGTTGAAGCGCTGTGGCCACACATTTGCTGAATGTGCGTGGGGATAGGGAATAGCCGAACGGGAGTCTGTTGTACTCGTAGGCTATCCCTTGAAAGGCAAAACGCAGATACTTCCTGTGCTCTGGCACAATCTCCACATGAAAGTACGCGTCTTTCAGGTCGATGGTGGTGAACCAATCGCCCGGCTGCACAAGCCCAGTAACTGTTTGATAGTTAACATGCGAAATTTCCTGCGGCAAATGTGAAGATTCAGGCTGCGCAAATCTAGAATAGGTCTGAATTCCCCTGTCTTCTTGAAAACCAGGAAGTACATGGAATAAAAACCCTTTTCCTTTTGCTGAGGATGCACCACAGACAGCCTGTTTCTGCACCAAAGCCTGAATCTCTGTTGAGAGGAAACCCATCTCCTCCTGGGATGACAGAATTACCTCTCGCATGCCTCTGAATGGAGGTGGGACGCTGCAAAACTGGAGTGAATAACCCGTTTCAGCGTCCTGTCCATCCACTCTGACAGTACACAGCTGAGTTTCCATTCCCCATAATATTGAGTTAATGGACAAGCCCTTAGCTGTGGGGCCGCAGCTATAAAGCTGTGATACTCTCTGGTGACCCGTTCCGCCGCAAAATCCCCCGTGAAAGGAAGATTTGCCCATGGAGGGTCGACACAGAAAGGGCCGATTTTTTATTGAGGTCCCTGAACACACCATCGCGCGCTCTTGTGTGAGCGCGCGCTCCACCCTAACGCTGTTCTCATTACCATGGTAACCAGCATTAACCGGAGTTTTTGTTGACGTAATGTGTCCTGAGGTCCCTGAACACACCATGGGCTCCTGAGAGCGCGAGCTCCGCCATAATGCAGCTCTTACCACTACGGTAAACTGTATTAATTGGAGCCTTTATTCTAGGCGTAGTGTGTTCCCTAACCATAATGCGCCGACTAGCAAGCCCCTGTACCCGCATAGCGCTACTATAGCACTTCCTGCGGTTTATCTCTCTCATCTGCGCATGCCCACTAGCTATCTCCTTTACAGGAGAAATAACCGGGGTAGCGAGTGGGGAATATGTACAGTCAACAATGTGTGTGAGTGCAGGATTGTGAAAACAAATGACACTCAGACTTGGATACAGATCACCTTTTTCTTTATTAGTTTTCCTAATAAAAGGGACCTGGGCATTGAACAGGGAGGAGGTGGGATTCACCCTAGCGTCCTGGGTGGAGAGACCCGTTGAGACGCTTCCTCCCTCCGCCAGTCAGCTGCGTTTTGGCGGAGCTCCCCACCCGGCGGTTCTCTGCTGCTGCTGAGACTGCCGTGGCCGGGCAGCCCGCCCCCGTGAGTGCCGGTACGCTGGCCCCACGGGGTCGGTTGAAGAAGCGGAGGGTGCTACCGGCACGGGACCTTCGTACCGGCGTCTCTCCCTCCGTCTCACCGTTGCACTGCAACTAGCGGCAACATGCGGCTAAGCTGCAGCCTCTCTTCCTCCAGACGAATTCAAACGGCACGTCCTCCAGGTCGTCCATGTCCACCACCTCGAGGTCCTCTTCCTCTCCCTCTCCACGCACCTGCGGGCCGAACTTCCTCGAGAAGTGCTCCGCACGATGCCGGCGGTTTAGCATCGGGATCGAACAGCAGGAAGCACAGGCCGGTGTCTGGCCCGCTCCCTGCTCAGCATGATCCTGTCCCAGGCACTGGAAACACTGACGATGCGGGTCTGCTCCCGCAATCAGTCCAGGACACGACGGGCAACTACGATGCTCCAGGAGTGGCTCCATTTTCACAATATCTCTCCCTTTCTCTACTTCCTTTCTCCCACTTGTACGTCTCGGACTCAGTGCTAGGTTACCACCTCCGCTCGCTGAAGAGTAAAGGATGGTGGTCAGGAGGCGAGGCCTCCTTTTATACGGAAGTGAGATGCGCACGCATTCAGGTAGGCCCGCCCCGGGGCCGGCTACGTCTATAGAAATCTCAGTAGGTGAATGCTTGCATGATAAGGTAGTACCCATAGAGTCCAGTAGAGGGCGGAGCCTGTGAGAGATATAACTCAAATAATATAAAGTATATCAAGATATGTTTGACCAATTACCTTGATTTCTATACAGAGATCCGTAATGAGCTACCTCCGTGCCTTACCACAGCATCTGGCTCTATATCAGACAGGGCCACCATGTTCAATTGTTTTAATGAGCATTTTGTGTCCTGTGGCTCTCTGTTTGATTCAGTCACTAACTCTGCTTCTGTGAACACCAGTCTGTGACTCTGAACAATGTGGTCTGGAAAACCCTTTCAGTTTTACTCCTTTTACTGTAAATGTTGTTCATGAAGCTTTATCTAAGTTAGATCCTAAGAAACCGGCCGGCCCGGACAACGTAGAACCTTTCTTTTTAAAGATAGCTGCAGATTTTATTGCTCCACCTCTCACTACTCTTTTTAACCTCTCCCTCAGCACAAACACAATTCCACAAGTATGGAAGTCAGCTTATGTCTTGCCTTTACTAAAAGGAGGGGAGGCAACTATTTTAAATAACTATAGGCCCATCTCTAAATTGTCAGTTCTGGCTAAGGTTCTTGAACGCCTAGTGAGTGAACAGGTAAAGGTGTTTTTATGTACAAATGACATCCTGTCTAAACATCAGTCAGGCTTCAGAAAGCGACATAGCACCATCACTGCCACAATGAAAGTGGTGAATGACATTACGAGTATTTTAGATAATAAGCAGAGTTGTGCAGCTCTATTTATTGACCTGTCCAAAGCGTTTGACACCGTCGATCATCGCATCTTAAAGCAGAGGCTACTCAGTATTGGCATATCCAGCCATGCAGTGGGGTGGTTTGTGAACTACCTCTCTAAAAGGTCCCAATGTGTTCATTTTGATGGGCTGTCTTCTGAGTGGTTGAACATTACTAATGGTGTTCCTCAAGGTTCTGTTTTAGGTCCACTTTTCTCCATCTACATCAATAGTTTAGGTGAAAATGTGAACTAAAGCTTCTTTTAAATGTTGAGAAAACCAAGGTAATGCTCTTTTCTAAAGCTAAAAAGACTCCAGAGACTGCCTTGGATATTGTGACTATGCAAGGACAAGTACTCCAAGTGGTTAGCTGTTATAAATACCTTGGTATCTGGCTTGATGATTGTCTTACTTTAAACTTCAGGTCATTAATCTGCTTAAAAAGCTGAGGGTTAGGCGAGGTTTCTTTTTCAGAAACAAGTCCTGTTTCTCTTTTGAAGCCAGGAAAAGGCTCTGTGACCTTTTGACCTGTGCTAGACTATGGTGATTTGATCTATATGAATGCACCTGCCCATTGCCTGGAAAGGTTAGATGCCGCCTATCACAGTGCTCTGAGATTTGTTACTAACTGGAAAGCACTTACTCATCACTGTACCCTGTATGCCAAGGCAGGTCTGCCTTCACTTACTGTACGGAGGCTCAGTCATTGGTACATGTTTATTTATAAAGCTATGTTGGGTAAACTCCCAACTTATATCTGCTCTTTGATCTCACAGAGAGTGGCAAGTAGCTATTGCCTGAGATCCCAGGATGTGTTCTTATTACATGTGCCAAGTGCTAGGACTGTTTTAGGTACTAAAGCTTTTATGTGCGCTGCTCCTCTAGCTTGGAACACCATGCAAAACAAATTGAAACTGAGCATTTTGGTTCCCTTGCATCATTTTAAAGCGCGGCTGGATGAAATGTTATTAGATACCTGTCATTGTGAATAGGTTGCTAATTTATACCCCTGTAATTATGTTGTGATGTCCTTTTTGTTTTCTGTTGTTTTTATGTGTAACCAATGTACCGCAGGTCTCTCTTGAAAAAGAGATCGTTGATCTCAATGGGATTTTTAACCTGGTTAAATAAAGGCTACAAACAAACAGAGATAATATTGTAGGGTTCTGACTCTTGAGTCCAGAGAAGAGAGGTTATTTTTAATGGATTCATCTTTTCTCTCATTGTGTTTACATCACTTCTCATTGGCCGAGGAGATTCAATTACATTTTCTATCTCAATCAATCTGAACAGACCCACAAAACAATGCATTATGGGTCTTTGTATTGTACATTATTAGATACAGACATGAGACTTTCTTTTTAAGATCCAAATACCTGAAAATTAGGACTAACACTGACTGAAAGGCAGTGCTGGAAGTTCTCTACTTACATCCACATTTGTGGAACTTTAGAGTATTTTTCAGATTACAAGTTACTAAGTAAAGTAAATAAGGTAACAATTGATTTTCTAACAAATCATTCAAACTGAGTCCTCAGTCAAATATAACCTCAAGACACGACTGAACACGGATTACTGTCAAACTTGTATTCAAATTAATATAATATTTTGCTTATAAGCTCTTTACTGAAAACATTGTACTGATGTTAGTCTTTTGTAATCATACATGTATATATGTTAAGTACATTAAATATTCTTTCATCAGTTAAATGCAACATACTTATAAATCGAGAAACAGTTTTTATTTAAGTTTTAGTAATACCCAGCAGTATTTGAAACAGCACAAAACATAAATGAATACACACCTTCCTCCAGCCCTTCCTCCACGTCCATGCTGTCTTCCTCCTCCTCTTCATCGTCATAGTTCGGGTCAAAGGTCATGAACTTAAGGCAAAGCTTTGTCACCGTGGCAACATCTCCTTTGGACAGCTGTCAATCAACGGAAACAACATGAAGGTCAGTGTGTGCCTGCGTATAAAGGCTTCAAAGGCCTGGAAACAGTACTCTCTCAGCTCGTCGTCCTCCACGTCCGTGAACTTCAACACCACACACACACACACACACACACACACACACACACACACACACACACACACACACACACACACACACACACACACACACACACACACACACACACACACACACACACACACACACACACACACACACACACACACACACACACACACACACACACACACACACACACACACACACACACACACACACACACACACACACACACACACACACACACCACACACACACACACACACACACACACACACACACACACACACACACACACACACACTTTAAAATCATTATGCAAAAACGTTCTGTACTTTAGACTACCGAGTCATTATTGAGAAATGTCTCATGATAATTTTGAGAAGCTAAACAATTATTTTTAGATATCTAATCATTATTTTAGCATATTAACTCATTCATTTAAGATACTAAGTCATTATTTCTTAGATATTAAGTCACTATTTTCAGATACTGTGTCATTAGGTTTGAGGTATTTCATCATTACCAAGATACCATGTCATTATTTTGAGATAATAACTCATTGTTTAAACTTTTCTAATTGAAATGACCAGAATATTCTCTTTGTCTTTCATCACAAGGCAACAAATCTAAATGTTTTCATTTTATTTTGTTACTCTACGTGCAGAAATGGCCTTCCTCAGTCAGGAAACCAATGTGTTGTCCTTAAATCTAGTATCACGTGAGCGTGGCAGCAGATCTCACCGACTCGATGGCCGCCCTGATGACTGACGGTTGCTAGGCACTGGATGTACGTCCTCGCCATGGAAACGGGCGGGGCCTTTGCGAGCTCATTGGTCAGGTGTTCAGTCAGCTGGGAGAAGAGGGCGGGGCCACGCGTGAGGTTTAGATTATTTCCCTGTCTCAATCCAAATTGAACTGTATGAAATAAAAAGGCACATTTGTCTTGTAGTAAATAAAAAGGGCGACCTGGAGCCAATCCTGCAATTTCCCCACAAGTGAAAGAGTTGACATGCTGAAAACCCAACCCCTGCAGGGGGGTCTGGGGGGATTCTCCCCCAGGAGATTTTTTGAAATACTAACATAAAATACACATTCTGGTACTCTCTTGAGAAGAAAAATAAATAAATCTATTGCTACACATTTAAAAAAATGAATGCCATTTTAGTTTTGTGTTACTTTGTTCTGAAAGCTGAACCTGCTGCTCCAGAGAGAAGAGGGAAGAGGCTGTGTGAATTACTTTACATTGTGGATAAGGGTGGATAGCCCCCATTGTTCTGTGTGTCAAAATGAAAGACAGCCCACACACCTATCAATCATCAAACCGTGGGGTCTTATTTCATTACGTGTTGATTTCTATCAACACGTAGTGTTGTATCGATGTATAGAGATGTACTACCGCAAAAGTATTCTCCGTCGGGACTTCCTACAACAACACCACGCCGTTATCGTGATTCTGATTGTCCAGAAGACATTATCAAAGATGTTTTATTGAGAAGACGATCACTACGTGACAAAACATTTCAAAACCGTTTCTAGTCTTCGGTATTTCCAGACAAGTGGCTGCTGAAATCAATCTTACTAACTGCTGTCTGTGCAATTTACTCCGCGAGTTGGCGGACTTTTTTTTGCTTACTTTAACATCATTTTTCATGGCGGGGCTAAAGTGGGGCTAAGCCATTTCTTGGTATGGCTGTAGCCTACCCCAGCGCCGCCACTGCACACAGCAGTGATTAATAGTAGCCTACGCATGACACCAGCCCAGCATACCGACATCAGCTAGCGTTAGCTTAGCAAGCTAAACTAACGCTAACTAGGATAACCGCCAAAGTGTGTTGACAGACGAATTATACCTGAAGTCAAGCCAGCCTTTACTGAGCCCCGAGCCTGTTTTCCAGGTCTTCCAGCGTTTTTCTCGTTTTAATGCCATTGAACACCATTTTTGATCAGAATAACAGCTAAAGGTAAGCATATCTCCGTTTTTTTGCTACCTAAAGCTAACACACTAAAGCCTAAAGTGTTGTGGGGCGTAACAGGCAACTAACGCATACGACTTACCTTCTAGAAGTCTGGTGGATTTTTGTCAACTCCAGTCCAGTCAGTAGAAAGAAACGTTTTGCTGCAACCTGCTGCAACCTGCTGCTGACTGCTGTCTACTCTGTGCGAATCTCAGAGTGGTGCGGGCGAGTATCAGAGTGTTACCATGGTAGCAGTGGGAGAGGGAGGGGCTGCAGTATGAGCGTTGGAAGTAGTGATGTGTCGGTCGCGAAGGAGCCGGTGTTACCGTTTAACTGGTGACACCGGGGAACTCGTGACATTCTATAACGGCAGGAATGTGTCAGGGGCGTGTACTTTGAGGAGCCACGGATAACCAGGAAATACACATTTCGATCGCTTCTTCTGTTGTTTACATTTATCTTTTGGTATATTTGGCTCCATAGGAAAACTTTGATGCACATTCAGTACCAGTGTGTGAGGTTGTGGTTGCGATGCCGATATCCGGACGCGTACAGCGAGGACTACACAATGACAATGAGGTGACTGGGGATGTCTGTTCAAAACATTGCAAACGTGAATAAATCATTTCAAATATATATTTGTCTCCGACTTTCATTTGTACATCGTTGTTAATGTGATGTTTAGTAGCTTTGATAGCTGTCCATACCTTCAGACAGCCTAAAAGTAAGACACAAGTTGTTTACTCACAGCCCGAATGCAGCATCGAGATCCGTGGCAAGCTGTGATCCTCTCCGATTAAGTTGTGACAGGACTTCTGTAGCTATTCTCCAGCGAGTAAGGTTTTTATTAAATACCTCCATCCCTCTCATCACAACAACAACACTCTACACTGTGCAGAAAAAATACAAAATAAATTAAATTAACCTTGCTGGATAGCTTAGAATGAAACAAACAATCGTCCATGGCTGATATGTCACAGTAACGGGTAAACCACAGAAAAGTTGAATCCATATAATGAAATTGTTATTTTATATGTATATACATATATATATATATATATATATATATATATATATATATATATATATATATATATATATATCTATATATATATATATATATATATATATATATATATATATATATATATATACATGCTATATATATACATGCTATATATATTTATTTCTATCCTAGATTGTCTAGGCTATATAAACCGGAGGAAGCTGTCACAACTTTCTTGGTTTGTGAGTATCGAGAGAGATTGATAGCGAGAGAGATAAATAGATAGCGAGACAGATAAATAGATAGCGAGACAGAGATAGATAGCGAGACAGAGACAGATAGAGATAGAGATAGAGATAGAGATACAATAGAGATAGATAGAGAAAGATCGGCTGTGCGTAAGTGAGTAGTGATAGAGTGTTTGTCCTTGTGAGTGTGTGTGTGTGTATTGGAGGGAGAGCTAGCTGTAGGGCTAAACAGGAGGGGATGGATTCAGTAGTTGTAAAAGAACTGATGGATTTGTTGATCCACAACAGTTATCCTGATGGCTTGAACAGAACACAGAGGTTTGTTATCAAGCGACGAGCAGAGACCTTCAGGATTATAGGTAACAATGTCAGACATGTGGTCTTCAGAACATCATCTGCTATGATAACACTCTCAATACATGTATAATTATGACATTTCAATACCAGATGGGGAACTGCACTACATATGCAGGAGGAAAAAAATGTTTGCAGAGCACCTCGCCAAGGTCGTGGTGTCAGCCAAAGAAGCCAATGATGTATTTGAGGAATTCCATGACAGCCACATTGGTGGACATTTTGGAAGAGAAAAAACACATCAGGCTATAATTCTAAGATATTATTGGCCTGGCATGGAGGAGGATATCCGCAAGTGGGTGAGTTCAAAATAATGAGGTAAATTACACATTATGGTACAAAAGTGCAACACAGAAAAGTTTATAGTGTGTTTTTTGGTTCAGGTTCTTCAGTGTCCCCAGTGCCAGTCAAAGAGGGCCTTTATCAAGGAGAAGGTCGAGTACACTCCTATAGAGGTACAAGGAAACATTTGAAGACAGTTTCAGCTTTCAAACATGTCAACAGTAATGTACTGCAATGCTCATGTGTATTTTTTTCATCTCGGGTAACAGAGCCTCTGGAGCTTGTCGGGATGGACCTAGTGGGTAAACTCACAGTAACCGATGGTGGCAATCAATACATTTGTGTCATGGTTGATTATTACACCAAATGGGCAGAGGCATACCCACTTAAAAATAAAACAGCAGATGAGGTGACCAAGTGTATTATTGATTTCTTTTACAAATTTGGTGCACCTAAAAGACTGCTAACATATCAAGGTGGGGAATTTTGTAATAAGGTACTACTTTTAGAATTATGACTCCCCATTATGTAACTGTGCTATGCTAACAAACTTATTTCCTGTTTGTCCCAATGTTCACTTCAAGATCAACTATAACCTTTGTGAGAGGCTTGGCATCAAAAGAAGCCTGTGCTCGCCATACCACCCACAAACCAATGGGCTGGTAGAAAAATTAAATGGCACAATACAAAGGTATATTTGTTCATAGAATAACAAACATTACTGTTCCTATATTAACTAATCAGAATTGATACCTAAAACAACAAGAGTAAATAAATCAGCAGCTTCATCATATATTAGAAACCAATTTCTGTTCGACCTTCTTGTGTTTGTACTTTACCTGAATTTAGGTCCCTGAACAAACTGGTGGCAGGTCAGCCGAAAGTATGGGACCAACTCCTTCAAGGGACGATGTTTGCTCTAAGGACTAAGCCTCAGTTGACTACAAAATTCAGTCCGTACTATCTCATGTTTGGGAGGGAGGCGAGGTACCCGTCAGAGGTGGCCGAGAAGTACGAAGTAAGATCTGCTAATGTTCTCATCCTTTAGAATGTTTTTTATTTCAAACATCTATGTTTTCTCTACATTCTAATGGTTTTCTGTGGCAGATAACAGAAGACAAAGTCCGTAGCTTGGTGGAAAAAGAGGAACTGTTCGAGGGACTGAAAAGACAGGAGGCAGTTTTCAAAGAGGTGGACACCAACATCAAAAAAAGCCAAGAGAAGGTCCGCAAAAGGAAACTCGAGCATGGGCAAGTCGACCATTTTCAAGTGGGGGATTTAGTTCTAAAAAGGAACAAACGTTTAGAACAACGAAAAGGGGGAAAGCTGGAGCCAGACATGTTGGGACCATACAGGATTGTCACAATTGAGGGAAAAATAGCGGACATTGGGGCAGACAAGGGTGGAAAGACAATGCAAATAAACATTGACCATCTGTCGCATTATGTCACACCAGAGGAGAGGATCCCTGCGAAAATAAAAAAAGGGTTGGATCCTTCTCGTCTGGCTGGTCCACTGACCTCCACATCCACACCCACACCCACCTCCACCTCCACCTCCACACCCACACCCACATCCACACCCACACCCACATCCACCTCCACATCCACAACCACCTCCACAACCACCTCCACCTCCACATCCACCAAGAGCATGGCTCCG